ACAATGAACGCACATAGGAGCATGCAGGTTATACTTCTCCGCAATCTCTACGGGACCGGCACGATCATTAATACTCAACATCCCTCATCCTCGCTATAACCAGTGGAATTTCTTTACTCACGATGAGCTTCCTCGATCTGTTCCACACTCCACATGCTCGTAGCCCAATAAAACGCCTTGCCTTGTTCGATCAGCCAACTAAACGCTCGGACGATTTCTAACATTGGTACGTTCGGATCCGCACGATGCGCGAACACAATATCCACTGAAACAATAATGAAAGAACAGAAAGTGAAAAAAAATGAAAAAACCCCCCGATCCGTCCGTTAGCGTCTTTTGCTCAAGCTGTGAAATAATAGACATTACCATAGTCCGTTTGAAGGCGTTCAAGGGAATCGCCAAGTCCTTCGATGATATGTTTCCTCGATAAACCACGATCGTTTGGTCCATTCCGTCCAGCATTCCCAAAGAAGATCTGACACGAAAAAGTAAAAAAAAAAAAGGATTCGGAAACAGCGCCCAATCCATTGACACACACACACACAAGAGGTCATTTCAGTTTTTCATATAGGAAGGAGGGATCATCAGTTGGATCGAGTTTTTTTTGCGGGGGTTGTTGAAAATTGTGCTTACTTACTTTGGTACTAAGAACGAGATCGGAACGACGGATGCCAAGTTCTTTGAACACTCGGCCCCTGTTTCCAGAACCATATTTGAATTGCAAATGTATGGGATCAATTCAAAAGATTAAAAAAAAAAGAAAATGCGACCCCAGGAAATCAAGGGCGGGCCCATCGATCCATGGGAGTAGGCGGGATGGATGAGGGATGGATGTTTGGAACGTACATCTCTGTTTCGCTCTTGCCTGCGGAATACACCTCGGCGGTATCGAAACTAATACATAGAAGATCGGCCAAAGAGTGCTTCGATTAGAATCCCGAGATGTTGCATGGTAGTAGGTTAACGAGAAAGCGCGGGGGGGGGAAGGGACTTCGCGGATGTACAATAGGCGTGTACGTGTGGGGGGGAGCGAGGTGTTCATGTTTAATGTTTATGTAAAGGGAGGAACATACTAATTGATGCCCGCCTCAAATGCTATCTTGATGATCTCCTTAACTGGATCTCCCTGCACGGTCCCTCCAAATGTGAGCCATCCGCCCAGACTGATAACAGAGACTTGAAGACCAGAATTTCCCAGACGGCGGAATATCATGTCCTGAAAGTGTGGGGGGGAAGTTACTTAGCGTAAGGGGGGGGTTTGTATTCGCAACTGAGCAATGTTATGACAGCGAACCTTGGGATCGTACTGAAGCGCGTCTGTCATGATGATTCCAAAGTGCGTTTAGAGCTGCTTGAGAAGGATGAGACGTTCGCAGAAGGGGCTGAGGGAGTACAACGTCGGTGACTCGGCTGAGTTGATGATTATTACAACTTTCGATGAATTGCTCTACTGAATTGTGCGACACCTACTCAGGTTTTTGCAGGATGTAAGTTCTCTTGCTCCTCAACGACTTGGATACGAATTCTGGGTTTCAGACTGAGAAGTCAACTTCCCAAGACGGTTTGGAACGGTAAGCGCCTCCTGGTTTAGGCAGGATCCCAGCCCCTCCACTCCTAGTTTTGCGATCGCTGAATCGTCAGATTAGAGATGACTCTGCTCTCCAAAGCGCAAACCTGCCCGCTCGATGTGCAACGTATCATCATGTCTTGTCTTGCACCCAGGAATGCGGCGCGCATGGCATTGACCTGCAGGGACTGGTTGTACGCATCCCGAGAGCGACTCTATCGAACCTTAGAATTGCATTGCCCGCTGCCACGTATGGATCGCACACTCAATCGATCTGCAGAAATACGGGACTTCGTAAAGTTCCTCAGCATTTCTTGTTGCGAACATTGCCCTCTTCCTGATTGGATGACTTTGTTACCAGCGGGTAATGTGCGACACCTCAGATTGTATGTCCCAAACTGGCTGAATCGTTGCCCGTCGACCGCGTTACCATCCTTGCCTTTCATGAATCAAGTCCACACACTCTCTTTAAAATACAAGTTGAGGAGATGGGAATTGGAAGAACTTGTGGCTTTGCCTAACTTACGGCGCTTGTGGCTAGAACAATGTGACGTCCCCGACGACTTTCCAGAGCTGCAGCTGCGTCCTTCTTCATTGTCAGACTGTCGTCTGACATTAAGTGATGATTCGGTTTTTCACTCTGGGCATATCAACTTCCTTCGCTCGTTTGCGGCCAATATCAACGTTACCGGGCTCCTGATTTATATCCCCCCTGGGAGCAAGGAAATGCTGGACGACTTGGCGACCGTTCTCAAATCCTCGTTCACAACTCTCCATTATCTTGCGATTGCATCTCCTGCCTACCATGGACCCCCCGTAATGGACGATGTCCTCCCGTACCTCCCTCGTCTGACTTATTTGATGTGTGGTGGTGGGATATACAGGGAAGGAGTGCTCCCTGACAATCTCTCCGAATTGCATCTTTACACGGACGATTGCCAAGTTATTCAAGATGTCTTATGTCAGTTGGAAGCGAAGAAAGGGCGCATGGAGCGCAGCTCACCTTCCTCTTCTAGGTTATCACTCCGAAAATTTCATATATCATGCTTAGATTACAGCTGGATGTTAGGGTTGCGTAAGAGAAGTGCAGAGCTTGGCGTGGAGCTTATCTGTTGCTATAGTTATTTCCCCCAGGACAATATTCTGTCAATCCAGCGAGATCTTGAGCTTGAGGACAATTGGTTTCCGTATTGTTGACGGCCAACAATACTAGTGGGCGAAGCGGAGTTTTCGTGGAGTGGCTCACTACGCTATTCCCCCGAAGAATCCCTTGATGCTGGGGTCAGCGGGTAAGAGGTAGGCGATACGTATCGCACTTGGAAATATTGGCTGTGTTTTGTAAGCCTTTCTGACTCACGGTAATGTGGACTGATTGTAAACTCCAATGTTCTTGATGTTGATTCAACTGTAACATGCACGCTGTATTTCTTGTACTATGCCACACAGATGAGACGTTCGCAGAAGGACTGGGGCGGTGCCTCAGCGACTGAGTACGTTAATGATTATTACAACTTTCGATGAATTGCTCTATTGAATTGTGCAACACCCCTTTTCAGGTTTTCGCAGGATGTAAGTTCTCCTGCTCATGCGAACCTGGGCTTTAGGCTGAGAAGTCGACTTCTCATGATGGTTTGGAACGGTAAGCGCCTCCTGGTTTAGGCAGGATCCCAGCCTCCACTCCTAGTTTGCGATCGCTGAATCGTCAGATTAGAAATGACTCTGCTCTCCAAAGCACAAACCTGCCCGCTCGATGTGCAACGTATCATCATGTCTTGTCTTACACCCAGGGATGCGGCGCGCATGGCATTGACCTGCAGGGACTGGTTGTACGCATCCCGAGAGCGACTCTATCGAACCTTAAAATTGCATTGCCTGCTGAAACGTATGGATCGCACACTCAATCGATCTGCAGAAATACGGGACTTCGTAAAGTTCCTCAGCATTTCTTGTTGCGAACGTTGCCCTCTTCCTGATTGGATGACTTTGTTACCAGCGGGTAATGTGCGACAGGTCAGATTGTATTACCCATACTGGCCGAATCGTTGCCTGTCGACCGCGTTACCATCCTTGCCTTTGATGAATCAAGTCCACACACTCTCTTTAACATTCAAGTTGAGGAGATGGGAATTGGAAGAACTTGTGGCTTTGCCTAACTTACGGCGCTTATGGCTAGAACAATGTGACATCCCCGACGACTGTACAGAGCTGCAGCTGCGTCCTTCTTCATTGTCAGACTGTCGTCTGACACCGGGCTCCTGATTTATATCCCCCCTGGGAGCAAGGACATGCTGGACGACTTGGCGACCGTTCTCAAATCCTCGTTCACAACTCTCCATTATCTTGCGATTGCATCTCCTGCCTACCATGGACCCCCCGTAATGGACGATGTCCTCCCGTACCTCCCTCGTCTGACTTATTTAATGTGTGGTGGTGGGATATACAGGGAAGGAGTGCTCCCTGACAATCTCTCTGAACTGCATCTCTACACGAACAATTGCCAAGTTCTCCAGGATGTTTTATGTCAGTTAGAAGCGAAGAAAAGACGCTTGGAATGCAGCTCACCTCCGTCTCCTGGGTTATCACTTCGAAAATTTCGTATTTTATGCTTAGGAGTCGATCACAGGCGAATAAGAGGGTTGCGCAAAAGAAGTGCAGAGCTTAGCTATAGTTATGATTATACTCCCCAGGCCATTATTTGGTCAATCCAGCGAGATCTTCAGTTTGAGGGCAATTGGTTTCCGCATGTTGACGGTTAGTGGGCCAAGCGGAGTTTTCGTGGAGTGGTACGCTATTCTCCTGAAAAATCCCTCGATGCTGGGGTCAGGGGGTAAGAGGTGGGCGCTAGTATGCTATACGTATCGCACTTGGAAATATTGGGTGTGTTTCGTAAGCCTTCCTGACTCACGGTAATGTCACATGTGGATTGATTGTAAACTCCAATGTTCTTGATGTTGATTCAACTGTAACATGCACGCTGTATTTCTTGTACTATGTAACACAGCAGACTCGTACCCAGTCGTCGTCGCTCCGTGGAAGTACCCCGGTGAGAAGAGTGGCGGGTTCTGCCGCGTCACGTTGCCAGTTGTTGACTATTGACCATTCTGAACATTTGAGATTTCGGCCAAACCTCCGCCTCATTTTGATGCAAAGACAGGATCCAGGACACTCTATTTGTGTACTCTCATCTCTATGAACCTTTACAATTTCTCATTATTTGTACCGCTGTACTTCGGATTTCGCTCTCAAATGCAATACAGTTCCACGACTTACACTGTCATCATACGTTGGAGCCAGCCGAAGGCAGTTCGACTAGTTTGAGTAATAAACGTGCATAGCGCGGGTCGGTGACCCGTGAGAATCTGCGAGCCGACTTTGCTGATAAAGAGACGGAGAAATACTACATTAAAGTAAAGGGAGATATAAATTAAAACCATTATGGAGGGTTCATCCGGTCTAGGCTTTGGCCATCTCTCTCTCGCACGGGCCTTCCAGGTACGAGGGAGATTTGGGTTGGGTGGCTAAAGGGTGCGTTAAAAAGCCGTGGTTGAGTGCTTCGCTGGTCAAGGGGGTGAGAAGTAGCAGAAGTGGCAGAGTAAAAAGAAGGCGAAAACGGATGGGGCGCTGGATTGCGAGATGAAAGGACATATGGCCAGAATGTACCGCTTCTCTAGAGCTTCACTCAGTTTCGCTGTCTCTCGATTGTTCTACTCACCGACGATCCTTCATTCCTAACACAGCTTCCTCCGTGTCCCCCTGCTGCACACGTTGCCTGAGCTCGACACACCCCCTGCCCAATTGCATATGGCATCCACCGTCCACCGTTTTCCACCGTCCACAAGCCTTTGCACCATTTCCTTCTCCAGCCTCTGCCCACTCCGTTCTTGATTCCCCTGCCCACCAGATTTCTTCCCCTTGACGTCTAAAGTTGGAGACGCCTGAAAATTCCGCTTTTCCAGCACTCTCCGGGGTCTCTTTGTCTCGTCGCCTTCCTGTTCTTCATCCTTAGTAGAAGGAGGGTTAAAATCTGGGTCCTTCATTGCACTTTCACTTTTAGGTATTTTTTGGGTCCATGCCCTGTATAGGTCCACCATATCCGAGACCCTCTGATCCTCTAGAGCTGACCGCAAGGCAGGGCCGGCGAAGGTAAGAACTGCTTTGGCACCATGGAGGATCATGAAGTGTGGTCGTACATGACTGGTAAACTTCGGAAGATTGTCGAAAGGAGTGGCGTGAATAGTGAAATCTGATGTTACTGCATGCGATTCACGCGCATTGTGCTGGACGAAAAGTGTGATATGTTCCATTGTATCGTCTATCGGAACTAGCGTGTATTTGAATACCTCTTTCTCCTATATCCAAGCTTAGACCTGACAACCGAATATCCAAATAAGCGCTTACATTGAATGATGGAAAATCCGTTCTGTTTGCTCAGAACTTCTTGTTTACGCGCACCAGTGCGTCCGTATACTTTTTACTACCTCTGTTTCTGGGACCAGGATGAAGTAACCTATCAAACATTGCATGCAAGGCAGCCCCCACTGTCATAGTGATGTCAACCGAATATAAACCAACAATAACACTTGAGGAACCTACTTGGAACCATATTGTAACGAGTGTTTACATTCAAAGTCCCATATTTCAAGTTCCAATGCCATTCCAGTGGTGTGAGCTGCCAAGATTTCAATGTCCAGTTTACAGAACGCCTCGGCCACTATGGGAATTTTCGATCATGCATCGTCCTTTGTTAGGATCAGCAGCATTGACACGCGTCTTCACGTGCACCGAAAGCTTCTGAGCATGTCGGTGGGAGGGTGTTGTATCGATCGTGTTATGCATCTTGGTCTCCCAATAGTCGCTACCGGGCTGGTCTTGGTCCGAGTCTGTGGCAAGGAAGATAAAGATTTCCCCATCGGACTGCCAGTCTTGGTCCGAGAAGATGGACGTCTCGCCATATCCGCTATTATGGGGTTGGTCTTGTTCTGTTAGAGCTACTTCCTCCTCAGCTGCCATCCCACAGTTTTAGGGAATTGCCGGGTCGTGCCGCCTTTCGAATGCGTCCAAGTTTTCTACCGCCCATTCAACTACTATTGGATTAGTGAGAGCAGTCATTTGACACTAACTACCAGGTTACACCACAACAACTCAGTCAACACTCTTGAACGTACGGAGTTGCATTGAAGCGCTCCAGTTGGTCGCCTCTCCTTTCTCGCTCTCTGCCACGCGCCAAGCGACATTCCGATTACGTTCACTTGCTTCATATCCACGGTGTATGCTTACATTATGCTCAAGCCTCACTCTCGCTGCGAGCGACCACTTATGCAAGTGGCCTCCCGATCTTCGTCTGTCAATCGTTCTGTGGCTTTAGAGCGCACTTTGGCAGCTTGACATGACCTTGCGTCAGAAGCTAATCTCGCCCAGCGACTTGGCTCTCAGCTCGCCTTCACATTAGTGACAACTTTCACATTGTGTGTGTGTGTGTGTAGTTCTGGATATTTATCCTGCAGACTACAGGCTGCTCGTGAGAGCGCCAAGGGCAGGGGTCTCAAAATAAATACATGAAAATAAAGTAGATATAAGGGATGCGTTCGATCTGGGGAGACTCGTCCTATGACTGAGTAGTTCCCTAACCATTTCCTCTGGGGAGTTTCCACTACTTTCACATTGTCTTGGGATCTATTTAAATACGAGGCTAAACATCGTGACGTCATTCTGATCACCGGTCACGCGTCCGTGGTGTATACCTACATCACGTTCAAGCCCAAGCAGCCCCCCCGGTCTTCGTCTGTCAATCGTTCCGTGCCGGCAGAAAATGTGATTGCAGGAAAGCAAGGGCGAAAGGCTATATCCCGGACTTGCAGAGCCATCAGTCGGGCAGGTGTTAAAATTATTTGTAGGCTTGTAGCTAGACCGCGTTTCCTAGAAGTGATCCCAGACACTTAGAACATCCAGTGAGGTTGTAATCAATGAGTTCCGAATGTTCCGATTGAAGAGAAGGTAAACACATGTATACGGTGTAAAATTCAAAGTGCCGATGCTGATGGACGTCGCAGGGCGGGACACTGTTCTCTCTCTGCTCAAAATCGGGTATCAACACAGAGGACACAGCCAAAGGCTCCCTGACCTTGTAGTTATGTAACAGTTGGCACTTACGCAGCGTCAGTATGGGGCGTGGGTAACTCACCCCTATAAACTATAAGTCACCGTGAGTATTGGTGACGAATGTCACACAAATAGATGAACCGATGTCGACAGCTCTCCATTAAGAGCACGGATTGGATTGACCCAGTCAGGTTTGCAACCCTGCGGACAGGCCGTCGAAGTCCGCCCTAGAGCCAGCGAATGAAGAGGCCCGAAAGGGTGGGAAAAAGCGAGGAGAGCGAGGCGACCAATCGGAGCGCTTCGATCGTAACTCACCCTATATGTAGAAACTTTCACAGGGGAGGTGCCGAAGACTCAGGTTTTTAGTGCTTGGATACGAACTTGGGTTTTAGGCTGTCGACCACGACGGTTCGGAATGGTAAGCGTCCTTCTCAATCTTTGCTCCTGGTTTGCGATCGCTGAATTGTCATACTAGAGATGGCTCTGCTCTCCAAAGCGCAAACCTGCCCGCTCGATGTGCAACATATTATCATGTCTTGTCTTACACCTAAGGACACAGCACACATGGCATCGACCTGCAGGAACTGGTTGTACGCGTCCCGAGAGCGACTCTATCGAACCTTAACATTGCATTGCCACTGTGTGACGCTGAAACTTCTGGGTCGCACACTCAATCGATCTGCAGAAATACGGAACTTCGTAAAGTTCCTCAGCATTTCTTATTGCGAACGTTGGACTCTTCCTGATTGGATGACTTTGTTACCAGCGGGTAATGTGCGACAGGTCAGATTGTATCACCCAACCTGGCCGAATCGTTGCGCGTCGACCGTATTATCCTTGCCCTTGATGAATCAAGTCCACACACTCTCTTTGAAATCCAGGTTGTGGGGATGGGAATTGAAAGAACTTACGGCTTTGCCTAACTTACGGCGCTTGTGGCTAGAACAATGTGACGTCCTCGAAGGCTGTGCAGAGCTGCAGCTGCCGCTGCTTCCTTTTTCATTGTCAGACTGTCGTCTGACATTAATCGACGTTCCGGTCCTTTATATCAACTTCCTTCGCTCGTTTGCAGCCAATATCAACGTTACCGGGCTCCTGATTCATATCCCCCATGAGAGCAAGGCACTGCTAGGCAGCTTGGCGACCGTCCTCAAATCCTCGTTCACAACTCTCCATTATCTTGCGATTGAATCTCCTGCCTACCATGGACCCCCCATAATGGACGATGTCCTCCCGCACCTCCCTCGTCTGACTTATTTGATGTGCGGTGGTGGGCTATACAAAGAAGGAGTGCTCCCTGACAATCTCTCGGAATTGCATCTTTACACGGACGATTTCGAAGTTATTCAGGGTGTCTTATGTCAGTTAGAAGCGAAGAAAAGGCGCATGGAACGCAGCTCACCTTCCTCTCCTGGGCTATCACTTCGTAAATTTCGTATTTTATGCTTTGGACGAGTCGATCACACAGGGTTGCGCAAAAGAAGTGCAGAGCTTGGCGTGGAGCTTATCTGTTGTTATAGTTATCTCCCCCGGGCCAATATTCGATCAATCCAGCGAGATCTTGAGCGTGAGGGCAATTGGTTTCCAGTATGTTGATAGTAGTGGACCAAGCGGAGTTTTCGTGGAGTGGCTCACTACGCTATTGTTCTGAAGAATCCCTCGATGCTGGAGTCAGGAAGTAGAGGTGGGGCGCTAGTATGCCGTACGCACCACGAACCTCCGGTGTTTTGTAAGCCTTTCTGACTCGCGGTGAGGTGGACTGATTGTAAATTCTTCTCCATGTTCTTGATGTTGTACTGCATTTATATTTGCTGTCTTTTGCTTGCACAACTTTTCCCCAATATTTCGTGTTTCATCGTAAAAAGTAAATATGGGCCGCTGCTCCGTGGAAGGGACGTCCTGAATGGGACCCAATCTCATGTTAGAGTCAGCGTTGAGGAGACATTAGGATCATTGCATGTGTCCTTCATTCATGAGGGATGTTGAATCTCAAAATGGCCTAGTATTTTTCCGCGTTAGCAAGATGGTCACAGATGGACAGATAGCAACGAACGAATTGATTACGAAGTTGGAGAAGGCATAGAGTGTTGGTGATACCAAACTCGAGACTGTTGTCTTTTCCCAACTTTCAACTAGGAAAAGCACTTGCACGCATGGGCAGCTGCCCACCAATGGTATGTTGGTCACCAAGTTGATGAGTAAGAGGATTGTTGGATTGCCAAGGGCGAGTGACATGCATGCAAATCCGCAAATAATTCTCCGATCCGACACCGTGCTGGCAGCTGACAACTTCCCTTTGGGATTCCATTGTTCGCAGTAAGTGATACTCAAGGCATGAACCTTCCCTGTGCATGGCCACCCTTGGCCGCTCACACCTCACTCTGCTTCTTACACTATACTTTGTATCGTGCTACTCCTAAGGCAGCTACGCATTATATTGATGCATCCATTACTTAAGCGTTCATGGAAAGAAAAAAAAAACATATAGGGACCCAGAGTGCGTTAAAATACCTTGGACTCAACGAGTCTTGATACAAACCGCAAGGTTGGTAACCTCCGCGACGATCCATCCACCTATCTCTCCCCTCGGCCCAACATCAACGTTGTTAGACGGACATCAAGAGCAAGAAAGGGATCCAAACGACAGGAACAAGATTCGAAAAGCGCCGCAGATTCGATGTCTAGGGGCTTAGTGCCTTAAAGTGCCCGTGCTCCACCGACGTTGACATTAAACCATCTGTGCGTGAACTAACCCGCCCGCACCGAGTTGTGGTGCTCATGTTGCCGTTTGTCGTGAAAGAGCTTGAAGGAAAAAAATCAACCAGCGGCCGTTCCCTTATATACCCTTCAACCACGGAAGATGCCGGGGCCGCACCGGAACCAAAACAATGAGTTATGGTTGCCACATTGACATTATGCACTTGTGTTGCAGAATGTTTACCGCGTCATATTGCTCAATCGAAGAAGTGTGGGTATGCCGCAAAGTCGGTAGAAAACCACCAACGTGTGAGGATGCGCCTTAAGGTAACTTGTGTTGTGACGGAGTTGTCCGAATCATATCATATTGTGATATTGTGTGGTTACATAGAAACCACGTCCAGTACTTGGTCGGCATTACGCCACAAAGACGGAAGGTGGTAGGTGTGTATTAGAGTAGCTCACCCACGATTCCTGTTATTTTAGAGCATCCAACACGTTGCCACATGACCAGAAGAAGCCGGGGAATGCCGCCTACCACACTAACCAAAGGAAAAATCGATCATGGCAGGTCAGGATGGTGAGTACGGGAAGCTGTCACCAGTCCCAGTTTTTTCCCTGCTTGCGATCGCTGACTTATCAGATCAGAGATGATTCCACTGTCCAACGCACAAATATGCCCATTCGATGTGCAACGGATCATCATGTCTTTCCTTGCACGCCGGGCTGCAGCCTGTATGGCGTTATCTTGCAGGAATTGGCTATATGCCTCCAGAGAGCGACTCTATCGACTAACATCATGGAATTCAACGGATGAGTTGGGTACGGGGGAACTTTTGGATCGCACGCTCAATGGATCGGCAGAAATACGGGACTTGATAAGGTTCCTCTGCATATACAGTCACTCATCATTCCGGGTGGTGAGAAGAAGCCGGCCTCTTCCCCATTGGTTGACTTTGTTGCCAGCGAGTAATGTGCAACATGTCAAATTACAACTCTCGTCCACTCAATGGACATCATACGTGTTATCCCTGCCTTTCATAAGTCGCATTCACACACTCTCCCTGAAATTTAAGTACGAGATGGAAGGGAACGAGGTGGAAAGATTTGTGAATTTGCCTAATTTAAGGCGCTTATGGGTCACGTTCGAGTTCATCCCTCGGTATGGTCCGCTGGATCTACATCTACATCCTCCCCTATCACACACAGGCCAT